TATGAAACTACATTGTTAGATAGTTGGAACACATTTTTCAGCTGCAGAAAAGGTGTATTACGTTCAGTTTTTCATATTACAAAGCTATAGATCTGAATGTAAGAAAAGAAAAAAACATTAAGAAATGGGAATTTTACAAAGATGTATAAAGCTGCACCCAGTTGTGAACACAGTCACTAAGGCTGCACACAGAGCCCTCTTGAATAGAAAAAAGCAGTAATTGTGCTAATCAGTCATTCAGGGGAACTAAATTTACCTCTGGCCTCATTTCCATTCATTTGCATACAGACTTTTCAAATATGTGTAGAGTCTGCACCCACATTTCAGTTACTTTCTGCTGCACTAAGTAAAATATACTCCGTTTAGATGAAGTTAAAAAATTTTAAAGGCATTTTTAACTTTGATAAATATAACAAATTCATATATTAGAGTTTAGATCCTGGCTTCAGTTCAGTTCAGGTTTTTTTATATATATTATCAGCTTTTGCCCCATACAATTCTAGGATCAGCAAATAATATATATATATAATTTTTTATTGCTTTTCACTATAAACTACAAATCTACACACTACACATTCAGAGTAGCAAGGTACAGTAATGATCTATCTTACGCTTTGGATGTTTCCCTACTTGTTCATGTTAACAATATACCATTTAATTTCAAAGTAATAAGTAGTCCAGCCTTTTTTAAGGACTTAACCATCTGCTTATGTATGCTGCATGCCCTCATACCTCATACAAGTGTAGTATCTAAGCTTCAGTATCAAGGTGTTGCTGAAATTTTAATTCTGTCTGAGTCAAGTTTTTGTAGTTTTCAGGGTTTTTATTTAACTTGTGCTTTCAGGAAGGTGGAATTATTAGAAAGGTAGACTGTTTCATCAGAGCAGCAGCTAAATGTTCTGAAAAATGAATGTGTATGGCTCAGAACAGTACTGTCATTTATTCCAAAGCGGTCTCCATCATATTGTTTTCCTTTATTGTTCTTTTTTTTTTTGCTGAAATTGTCAGCAAAAAGAAATGATATTTAACAGATAGTCTTTTGTGATCAGTATTATGTGCAGCCAATGACATTGTGTAATGTACCCTACAGTTACAGGCTAGCACAGATAACTAAATTCAGTTATGTGCATGTTTTAAATTTTCTCTTGGCTAACACCGAGGAAGGGGAAAGTAAAGCAAAATTTAAGAGCAGTCGGTTCCTGACTTGTTGACTACAGTTTCCTTCTTAATTGCCATGCACATATAGTTATGAACCAGGGAGAACCAAAAGCCAAAGCAATAACTACTAAGGTGAATGGGAAACAAATCCATATTCCATGCCAAATAAAAGCATGCTGAAAATTGGACATAAAGTCCACAAATACCCCTCACTGCTTATAATACTGAAATTGCAAGATATTCTCAATACATGTGGTATCTATCACTAATGCCTCCAAAGTGACCATACAGAAGTATGTGAAGCAGGGTTCTTGTTTATAGGCATTCTTTGTGTATGTAACGCAACTTTGTATGAAAATACATATTATGCTATTGCCTCTACTGTAAAAGAAATTAAATATATGCAAGAGTGGGCAATAATTCTATATGATCTCTGCAGTCTTAAAATTTCTGAAGACCCAGGAAAAAGAAACACCCTCATAATCGACACAGTGCCATTCTGTATGTCCCTTTTCAATGTGTCCCCATTGTCCTTTAATCATTGTACAATAGCCACAGTAGAGGGCCACATGAGGATTAATGCTGTTTTTTCTGTACCATTACCTCCTAATGAGATTGCTGCTTGCAAAACCATGAACTTTGCACAGAACACTGGCTCTCAGAGTGGCTGATTCTCAATTCTGTTTAGCCTTAATTCCCAAATCAAGCTAAGTCTGGTTAGGAAAAGAGCTTTTCTTGGAAGATCAGTAGCAGTTTTAGGCTTTGCCCTGGATAGGTTCACCTGAAATATATTTTAATGGTTCTAGCAGATTTACAGACTATTTTACTCTCCAGCCCAGGACCTTCCCGAGCAATGGGGGCCGCTTCTACAGCCGGAAGAGCAATGGCCTCAGCCGGCAGAACAGCTGGCAAGCCCCCGTCAGCTGGCAGGGTGACATTCCCAGCTAGCAGAGTGGCCTGTGTGCCCCTGCTAGCTAGAGGGAAAGCCATCACCACAAGGGAGTTCGCCCCAGGCTGCCTCACCACCGGTGAAACAGCTCCCGGGCGAGACAAAGAACAGTGCTCTGCCTCATGTGGACCCACAAAGCCTGCCCTGGCTGCTTCAAAAGATACAGGAAAGGACTCCCGAGGCCCCAAGGCAGGAACCTTTCACCCGCACACAGGGCCAGGCCAGGTGGAAGAAAAGGGGAAAGAGGGAAAGGGGAAGGCACAGATAGAGCTGAGTTAGGTATTTACCGTGTACAGGAGCAAGAGTCTTGGCAGGAGGGAAACGAAGATGCTGAGCTCAGCTACACTCACTCACTACATGCCAGATCATGCCAGAGGAGGGAACTGCCAGGAGGGAGGAAGAAAGGAGTCACATTTACTACTACTGTGCTACCTCCCACCAACTCATGTGCCATTTCTACTCACTCAGTAGAAAGCAGACACGACCATCTTGTCTTGTTTTCTTGATTCACCTTCATTTTATTCTGTTCTGTGATACACTTTCTTATGTCTTATAATAAGTCATCTAGCTTCTTATAACTTGATACAGGTGGTGTCATTTTGCTACTTTTACAGATATCTTGGATTTTACATCATTGATATTCAGAGCATTTTCAGTCTGTCTCATTGTATTGTTTCTAAGGGATAACCCATGGCAAACTTATATTGAAAATTCACAATCTCTTATTGCATATGAAATACTCTGGAAGTGTTGTCACACCTAGTTCAGTGTTCTTACTACTGTAACAAAGGATTTCCCCCCCCAAATACTTGGAAGTCCCATATTCCTTACTTCCTTTTTCCTTACTTCCTTTTTCACTTAACCAAGTGGCTCCTCTTCCTTCTTCTTTGTTTCACTGTCTGTCCCCCCAGATGTTAAAATGTATATAGATGTATTCTGACCCAGTCTAGGAAGCTGAGGAACAGAAAAACCCTTAGTTGGTATGTGTCTGAATACAGCACACAAGAAGTTGATAATGAATTCACAACACATAAGTTGTTTTATTTCACTTTTACAGTGAAGTGGTCAAGTCAGACTGCCAGGGAGGTTTTAGGCTTAAAGTGGACAGGTGAAAAGGCAACAGAAATGAGGGAAACTTTGTATAATTATATACAATATGTAGTTTGTCACAAGAATGTAGCTGTTTTGTTCTAACAACAGGTGTTTGTAACTGTTGAGAGAGATCATTTGGCTGTCACTCCTTAGATAAACAAGCATAGGTTTATTTCACACAAAATGTCTACAGCCTGTAGAGGCACAGACATACACATGGGTTCCAAATTTCATTCTCTAACACTTGATAGGGATCACCCCTCTGTACTAGGAGCTATTTCCCTCAGGGAAGAACTATCAGTTTCCCTTTCCTCCTTCAGGATCCTCTTTGATCCTTCAGTCTCCTCCTCCTCCCTTCCACCTCCCTTCCTTCCTAACTGTCACTCTCAACTGCCACTCCCTCAGGTCAACAGTAGAATTCTTTTTGAACCTTCTGTCAATCAAGGTTCTCAAAGTGGTATAAGACATCTGCATTTAGCTGTCAGTCACACCCCCAGACAGTTTTTGCCATGCAGCCTTAAAGTTACTGCCATTAAACTGAGCTCAGGGAAATACATCCTGTGTATGTTCCCTGAGAGTTGTTCTACATAGTGGCAAACTGACATTTCAAAGGTTCTTCTCATCTCTCTCTCTCACACACACACACACACACATCTCTCTAGATCCAGTGCTATGGATGGAGCACATAGTCCCCTACTGCATTGCATATGGCTGAACAGCTGAATAGGGTGAAGGGGGGGACATGGATATATTTTTCTACTGCCCCCCACATATGACTGGTGTTCTCCAAACACAGGACTGGTGAAATGCACAAGCAGCCCACTGAAGCACTAGTAGATCTTTTTTGTTGAGGGCAGCAGAAGGGGAGACAGGTCAATCTCTGTTCTTCTTCTGTGATGCTGATCTTACCCTTGATGATCTGTCATAATTTGCTACTGCAGCTGCTATGCTAGAAGTGGTTTTGACTGCATTTTCTGCTCTTACCAGGGAAGAGGCATGCATAAAATGAAATTGCAGTGTTAAGAGCAGAGTAAGAAAGGGGAGAAATTATAAAAACAACAACAGTGGAAATACATGGAAAGCAAAGGATAAGGAAAGAGGAAGAAGAATACAAACAATTTGTATTCTCTTAGATGCATTATAAGGGATGCTTCTCAGCCTTTTAGTAAATACACAAAAGAAGAGATGCTGACAGTTGTGACCCAAGCGCATTTTCTTCTTTGATTCAGAAAATAGCCACAGTGAAAACAATACCCAACTGAGCCACTGCCAAAAAATGGCATACGATAGGAAATTTTGAAATTAGCTGTCCCCTAACCCCCAGTGAGTAATAATAGCAGTTTTCATGTGCAAACATCTCTTATGACAGTGAGTTATATATACAGCAGATAAGGATGAGAAGTCCTAAACTGTTACATTTTCTGAGAATAGTTCAGAAATACATCACCAATCAAAGCAGCAGTGAAGTCAGTAAAATGGGGGGGGAGTAACATCTCCTAGCTGAAGGTGTTTACAATTCCAAAAGCATGCAATGGAAACACAAAAGACTGATTAATACAATTTGCTTATCTGTGAGGGTTCTTCTTAATACGTAATAGCAATAGGTTAAAGAAGATGAGTAATATGTAAAATAAACATTTGAACGTTTCAGAATATTTTCTCCTCTGCAGATTATTTCAGTAATATTGTGCCCCGTTACAGTTTGTTAATTATGGTGCTGCTCATAATAATGAGCATGTCTTGAAACATGTGGGCAAATGGTTGGAGAACAGGATTTAACTCTTCTTCTTCTTCTCCTCAGCTTCAGACCAGTTTGACTGAACCAATGACGTTACCAAAATCAATCTCTCTTCCTCGCAGCGCATACTGGCATCACATCACTCGACAGAACAGCATGGGAGAAATCTACAGTTTACAAGGTAAGCTGCTTGAGAAGTCAAATGGCTTGTCTGCTGGTTTCCCTCACATTGAGGAAAACTCATGCAAATTACTTTCATATACAGTGGCAGTTTTCTCCCTGTTTCAGTTTCTCAGGCTTGTTGTCAAACTCAGTAGGAGTCATGAGAGATGCCTTTTCTCTCCCTGCTTTCTTTCTTAACTTCATAGATGAGTAGAAAATATCATTACCAGAAATGTTCATAGGTTGAAAAGTAAATTTGATAGTTCAGATTTGAAAATGATTTTGTGTATAATATGTGCCTTCTTGTTATCTAATGAATTACAAAATTTCCCATACAGAAAACTGTATTCTGAGGGAAATCTTGATTGTTTAAAAACTGCTATAGTCCCTCTCAGATAGGCTTGCAAGGTCTAACCTTGCTGCCGGCAGGGGGATCTTCTCCTCTCTGGGAGCTTCATGTGTGCTCGATGACTTCACCTGGAAGTGACATCATCATGTCACACAGCGACACTCTAGGTTTTGGGCAAAAACTCTATGGGTTTGAGCCCAAATTTACCATAGTGTTTTGCCTAAAACCTAGAGCGTCACCGTGCAATGGCGGCGTGATGATGTCACTTCCAGGTGATTTCATTGTGTCGTGTTTGGGGGCATCTGTTGGTGGGGTTTCCCCCTGCTGGCCAGCTGGCCGGTGCTGGGGAGGAGCCTGAAAACGCAGGGAAACCCCTGCCTGGACCGGGGGGGGGGGCTGGCAACCCTACTCAGCTTTGGCACATCTTAAAGACAGCAAACACTGACCATGTGGATGCCATTTTTTGGTGGAAGCTTCTTGTTTCTTGTAACATGTAGTTCTCCCCACAAGTACTATATCAGCTTCTTTGATGCTTGATTCTAACAGGATATGGGAAAATGTTGTTGTATCACAGCAGCTGGTGATTTTCCATGTTAATTTTTTTACATGGGATTTGAATAGAGATCTACATGTAGCACTCATAGTATTATTATGTCTAATACCCATGTCTGATACCCATTATGTCTAATACTGTGTTTATGCATGCTAATATGTGATCAGTTGTGCGCAGGAACTTTGCAATGTGTCAAGTGTCCTTAAGATGTTAAGGAATAGATGGATTTATGGATTTAGAAGTATGCTGCTTGGGCATATTGCTTCAGTATTTGGCCAGACTGGTTGGTTCTACTGCTTGCTAGATTTATTTTCTAATTAAAAGCACCAGCTCTTCAAATGAAAAGTATTCTATATCCATTGGCCAACTTACATTAGTGCGCACATCCAGGTACTGAATATTAGGAGTAATTTATTTAATAATAATAAGTTTCTGTGTCTCTGATATTCCTATTTAATTTGATGGTAGGGCAGATATAGCTTCTGCCACCCTTTATATAAATCAAAATTATGACTTTTGGATGGTTTTTAAAAGAAGCAGTTTCTTCTTAACAGTGCATAGTAGCTGGGTGATATATGAATGCTCTCATATTAATTCTCATCATTTGAATACTATGTTCACTGACTAGACAATATTTAACCTGTCCATTTGTGACTTTCTCTATGCCTTCTCGTTAGGGTTGCTAAACCCCCCGGTTTGCCAGGGGTCCCCCGTTTTGGGGGGGTTCTACCCGCCGCCGGCCAGATGGCCGTTGTGGGAAGCCCCACCCCCAACACCCACAGCCACCCCTCTTCCTTCTCTCTTGAGAGAGAGAGGGGTGGCTGCCTTTAAGAGCCTGCATTTCCTCCCAAGCCTCCACTTGAGATCAGGCTTGCAGCGAAATGCCAGCTCCTGCACTTAAAAGGGGAAGCCAGCTCTTTGCTCTTAAAGGGGAAACGCCGGCTCCGTGCACTTAAAAGGGAAACACCAGCTCCTTTAAGTGCAGGAAACTGGCGTTTCTGGAGCTCCAGCGTGCGGGCGGGTGGGGGAGCGGCGGACGTCCCCAACGTGACATCATCTTGTCGGGGATGCCCCGCCCCCTCCAGGAACGTCCCCAAAGTCCCCTGCTGGGGGTGGAAGATGGACTTGGCAACCTTACTTCTCGCGGACACATAGGTAGTCCATTGTTTATGCCCATTTTCCATTTAACTCATATTCATCTGTCTCTCTCTGTGTGTGTGTGTGTGTGTGAGAGTGAGTGTGTGTGTGTGTGTGTGTGTGTGTGAAAGAGAGAGAGAGAGAATTTGTGTAGTGAAGATAGGCTTATGCAGTTAGTTTGTAAACCAGGGACAGGTTTAGAAAAGACAGGACAAATGATCTGTATTGCCTGAAGGAGCATTTAACAGGTTTTGATTAAGCTGAAACAGTGTGAAGAAAAGGTAAAAAGAAATAAATAGAATTTTGTTTCTCTTTTAAAAATCTTTTTTTAATTAACCTCAGCAGGTGGGCAGTGCCTGAAAATATTTCAAAATATAAAAATAGTACATATATTGAAATATGTGGGGGTTTTGCCCCAAATTCAACTGATATTGTAATTCACTGAAACATTTTAGAAAGAGTCCCCTTAAGTAAGCACAATATGTGAACATTGAAGCATGAGAAATGGTTTCAGTTTTTTTGAAGTCAGCAGCAGCACTTCACTGGGAGGAAAAGAGCTACCCTCGGACCAAATGTACCAAGCTGTGTAGGTGCTAAATCAGCAGGAGGTACCACCTGGGAGGAGATGTGAATTTTACATTGCTCCTTCCCAGGCTGAGTCCAAGGCAGGCTACAGAGTCTATAAGAGGTCAATAGGTGTGTGCTCCTGCCACGGTCCACTGAGCTGCAGAGAGTGCTGCATGACCTCTTACAACCAGGGTGGCACAAGTGGAGAGGGACCATGTCCGTCCCCCCATGCCACAGTCCTGTGCCACAGTCCTGTGCTTGGAACTGAGCCAGCCCTGCCCTCAGTCCTAGACTTGGATTCTGGCCATGTTGGTCAATTTAAAGACACAAGGGCTGGGGGGGTTGCCCATTAAGGAGCAAATAAATATATTATGATAACACAGAAACACTAACAGACTAACATGCCACTTGCATGTGCCAATAATATATATTCTATTGGCCATTACATTAGTCATATAATGCAATCTCTTCCCCCCCCCCCTTTTTATAGGAAAATGTTAATGTGTAGCCCACCTAAGTGTGACATGCAAGTTTCCCCCAGTGGTATTTTAATAGCTAACTCTGTCAACCTGCCTCTTCCTACAATCAGAATGGCTTGTTCTGAAC